TTTCTAATCCATACATCAGTATAGGTAGTACACGGGTTTGATTGATCCAGAACATGGTCACAAAAACATCTTCAAGCTGAATCTGTAAGTGAGATGTGAACTTCATGCAGGAAGTGACGAGATGTCTTTATCAGCGAATGTCTGGTTTGCTTTGACCATCTGAACTTTGCTTTCAGCCTAGGTAGGTGATAGTTTTGAGCCACATCTTCACCAGGTATTGTGGTGGACCAGCTCCAAGGTTCTGGACCTTGGTCTTCTGGAATGTGATGTTCAACCCCATAGTGTGGGTAGCCTCCCGGAAACCTTGGAGGGTGGGACTGAAATTCTCTGACTTCTCCCCAAGCAAAGCTACTTCATCAGTGTAGTGTTTGTTGGTGAACGTTTCTTAACTAATGTTGATTCTGATATGAGAGCAGTAAGTCTGTCAAGCTATCGACTGGATATTAGGAAAGTGCCAGGGTGAGAGTGCATCTCAGTCGCACACCCAAGGTTGTGTAGAAATCCAGCGAAAGCTGTTAACCAGCTTGACTTTCACACAGGGGTGAAGACCTATGCACTAGATTTATCAGACTATCTGGGGCACCAGCTTCTTTTAGTGAGAGTGAAAGTGCTAACCTAAATCAGTTTAGTGTTGACTAAATCAAAAGCCGCCTTGATGTCGATATATGCCAGGTGAAGTGGGAGGTTAAATTCTTGGTACAGATCAGCCAGAGGGTAAAGACAGTGTCCATTGTTGACCTCTGTCAAGGAGCATCTGCATCCTACCAAGCAGAACATGAGCAAATACCGTTCAAGGGACTGAAAACAATGAAATTGTCCTGAAGTTCCCATACTTAGTGTGAGATCCTTTGTCCTTGTACAGAGATACTATGATATGATTATTCCATTCTGTTGATACTTTGCCAGATGCCCACACTTTGAAGAATACAGTATTTGTTGCAGGCTGATGCTCACTGCTTCCAAAGCATCTTTGAGCAAGTCTGGGGGAATATCCGGTCCAACAGCACATCCCCTCTAACTTCGGAATGGCCTTTCATATTTCCATGGGTCTTCAGCCTTGTGATTTGCCATGTCACATAGCTCTGGACAGTTGTCAGTGGCATAATGTGTTTTCCATCTATTCAGGACCTTGTCCATCAATGAACAGGGAAAGCTGGCCGGTTTCGTGATGGGGATTCTGGAAGGTTGTTTATGGCTGCCAGCTAGGTGCCCGGTGACTGTAGGCAGGATGCAGATTGTTGAACTGTAGGCCATTCTCTGCCTCGTCAGCTGGGGAGTTGATGTAAATCTCAATCAGGCATTTGCCAAGCCATGGCAAAACATTTCAGCCTCCCTCCCCCTCACCAAAGTGCTGAGTACCTAAAGTTCACACTGCATTTGTTACACATTAGCTCTTTGGGGCAGGAGCCCTGTCTTGCATGTATGTAAAGCACCTAGTACACACTGGAGCAGTACATAAATAATGACATAAAAAACTAAAATAAAAGAATATTAAGGCTGCTTAGTCAAGCACTCAAAGATAAAAATGCCAGAATTAAGGTTGCCTGTGCAAACTTAATTCAGTCCTATGTGCGTATGTGTTAGGATATAACTTTTAATTAAATATTCAATATTTTTTCCATAGGACCCCTGCCTCTTTCTGTGGGTTCCAGCAAGTTAGTTGCTGAGAGAAGGGAGGCTTTCCTGTGCTCTCAATTCTGATAATCAGAGCTACAGCAGCTCCCAGCAACTGCAGGGAAAGTTTTGTTCAGCCTCTGAAATCTTGGGAAGAAACGGGCTCAGTTGCTTCATGGGGATTGTGGATGTGTGGTCTGGGTAGCATGTGGGAGCTGTTTCGGCATGCAGCACTACTGGTGCACATGGAATCTTCAGAGAATTTGGTTGCTGGCCTCTAACAAATCTTTATAAGTGTTTCAGAAGGTTACAAGTTGGTCAAATGTGGGCCCACTATTTATTATTTTTATTATTGGAGTGCTAGGAGCTCTAGTTTTGGGCCAGTACCACAAAGCACCAGGAGCTGTACAAACAGAACAAAACAATGGTCCTTTCCCTGAAATGCTTACAGACTAAAAAGACAAGACAGATGGTCAGGGAAGGCATACAACACACAAGCAGAGTGTACAGTCTGGTGGCAACAAATATGTTAGTTCCACAATTTTATTTTCTCTCTCTGGTGGGTTTAGTTAGGAGGGAATAAGCTAAAGGCAGAGAGAAAGGACATTGAAAGGAAGGAGGATGCGGGAGGGGGGGGCTGTGGGGTGGGGCTGGTATGTTAGCAACAAGAAGAAGGTCAAGTTTTCAAAGATAATGGCCAATGGCTCTGCAATCACATCCACCAACTCCTTTAGCACCCTCGGATGCAGCGCATCCGGCCCCATGGACTTGTTCTCGTCCAGCTTTTCTAATTAGTCCCGAACCACTTCTTTCTCCACAGAGGGCTGGTCACCTCCTCTCCATGCTCTGTTGCCCAGTGCAGTAGTCTGGGAGCTGACCTTGTTTGGGAAGACAAAGGCAAAAAAAGCATTGAGTACATTAGCTTTTTCCACATCCTCTGTCACTAGGTTGCCTCCCTCATTCAGTAAGGGGCCCACACTTTCCTTGACCACCTTCTTGTTGCTAACGTACCACCCCCACCCCACAGCCCACAACCCGGTCACAGCCCTCATCCCTCCTACACCTCAACCCTCTGCCCCAGCTAGAGCCCTCTCCTCCATCCCAAACCCCAGATCCCGCACCCCCAGCTGGAGTCCTCCACCCCCCTGTCAGCCTGGAGCCCTCTCCCGCACCCTGAACCCCTTATTTCTGTCCCTACCCAGAGCCTGCACCTCCAGCCCAGAGCCCATACCCCCTCCTGCACCCCAATCTGCTGCCCCAGCTGGTGAAAGTGAGTGAGGGTGGGGAAGAGCAAGCGACTGGGGGAGGGGGGAATGGAGCAAGTGGGGGCAGGGCCTCAGAGAAGGGGCAGGGCAGGATATTTGGTTTTATGCAGTTAGAAAGCTGGCAACTGTAGTGACATAAAATGAAGAGACTGAGGAAGGGGGAGGTTTGGAGCACATAGCCAGTCATCACAGAGAAAGTCCAGTCATTGTCTCTGGCTGGTTCCTCTTGGCAGCTTTCCTATCCCTGTGGACGTGGGAGAAAAGGCACACTCCTCACACCAAGGTGACTCTTTAGATTTCCACTGCCTGTTCTAAAGCATGGGGGTGCTAGAACTTCTCAATGAAAAGTTAAACTGTTTTAGCAGAAAATTTCCTAAAATTTCAGCATTAGGCTAGGGTTACCATACTTAACAAATAAAAAAAGAGGACCCTCCATGGGGACATGGCCCCGTCCCTTTCCCACCCCCAGCCCTGCTCCAACTCCGCCCCTTCCCCGCCCTAACTCCGCTCCCTCCCACTCCCAGCCATGCGGAAAGGGCTGTCCGAGCGCTACCGGCTTCACAGTTTGCCGGGCAGCCCCCAGACCCTGCACCCCCGGCCGGCGCTTCCCCAGCGCAGCCGGAGCCCGGGAGGGGAAGTGCCCAGCCGGGGGCGCAGGGTCTGGAGGCTGACCCGGCAAACTGTAAAGCCGGTAGCGC